CTGAGAAAACCCATTTCCCTGGAACTAGGAATAAAACTGTCACTTTTGTCTAGTGCTGGAGACAAATACTCCCGTCTACCTCCACAAAGCCTGTGGCCCAGGAGATACATGTGATTGAACAGAATGAAGGCGATGATGGTTTGAATGTTTCTCTAGAACACCCAGCAGGTATTAGAAATCCCAAGGCTTGTGAGCTCTGTCCCAGAGCACTTCCCATGCAAGAGGAGATCACAGAGCAGTGGGTGCTGGGATGAATAGGAGTCAGGCCCGGGGGACGACATCTGCCTTGACACTTCAGTTGTTTGGTGTGGCTGGAGAATATCTTACAACTGGAAACTTGGCAGGATCATGGGGCCTTGTCCTAGCAGACCGGGCAGGTTGTGACAGGCCTGCCCTGGAAGCCTGACCCATAGCAGCCACTGGATCATCTGCAGTCTTTCTCACTGGGTTCTGCTGTCACCTTGTCATTCCATGCAGCACCACACTCCAGCAGCCACTACCAGGCAATGACAGGCAGCCCCTGAGTTAAAGTCTACTTAACTTCCAGTCCTGGCCTGGTCTTGTGGACAATCTTTTGCGTTTATATCAAATGTTCTCCCTTCTTAAAACTAGGAACCTTTTCCTCTTCTTCCCTTTTCTGTTCAAGTGGCTACACCTCCCACATTAGAGTGGTGCTGTGATCAAAAGCTATCTGCTGGGCACACACTCCCCTTGCCATCACCAGGCCGCCTGCCTGCTGGCCTCGTCCCTCCTTCCCTTCAGTTCCCAGTGAGAAAGTGCTGTCTGCTACTCAGCAGCAAACTCCACTTGAGCTTTCCTGCCTTCTCGAAACATCTCTCTTCCTATGAAACAAACTCAACCACTCTACTGAAGCCATCTATCTTATTTTAAGCACATTAATTATTTTAATTCCTTAAAAAAATGCTGCATCCTGGTGCATTCCAATAATCCCTGTCTTTCTGGGAGGCTGAGGCAGGAGGATCACAAATTTGAGCCCAGCGTGGGCTCAAAAACTGAATGATTTAGTGAGATCTTATCTCAAAATTAAAAAAAAAACAAACAAACCAAAAAGGCAGCAGATGTAGTTCAGTGCAAAACCCCTTGGTTCATCCCCAGTACCCCCAAAAAACAGTGGGGATAAATATAGTTATTAGTTTTGTATTTTGCCAAGTAAGGACTTGGAGACTCTTTTCTGTCTTCTATCACCATCATTTTTTAAGAGGATGTTTTCATTTGAAACACTATAAAGGAGATAATTTCAGAATGCAAGACAAAGCCATATATTGTAAAAAATTACCATCATGTGCTTTTTTTTTTTTTTTTTACAGTGACTTGAAGATCAGAAGAAATCCAAAGATACCTCCCCGCATCTCCATGCAGCTGAACTGGAAGGTCCTGTGGGAGAGGGGCTCCAGCTCGGCTTGTCCCAGCACGTGGCCCAGCCTCTCTTCCTGAGGGCCAGTACACCCACCTGTGGAGGCCACCTGTGTGTCCTGGAACACCTGGGCTAGCACACTGGCCACAGCCAACTTCCGGAGATGGGGGCTTCTGTCTGAGCCCTGAATGCCACTCTGGCCTGCTCTGAGTCGCACACTTTCCCCTCAGCCGCCTCTGAACCTGCTGACTCACCTGCAGAAGCCAGGCCACACTGCCAAAGCCTCACAGACACTAAGAAGAGTACTTTCTGGGAGAAGTGTCAGCTAAGCAGGCGCCCCTCTGCATACAACGCTGACCATTCCAGGTGTCGACAGTGAGGACGCCGTGCCAGAGTCCAACTACAAGCTCTCCCTCTCCTCGCTGCACCTTAGCTTTCATCAGAGAAATGTGGACACTGTACTAAAACCACCTGGCTGTGTTGCTGGGGAGCCTGGAAGAACTCTTAGGGAGGGGTTTCTTCTGAGGATCACTGTACCACGAGGCAGTTTTAACCCTACGACTGAAAATGAGAGTCAATGAGCATAATCCAATGAGTCAGATGCATTACCCCACTTTGTGGATGACAGACTGAAGCCTTAAGGTGAGCAGCTTTCCCAGGTGCCCTGGCTGACAGCAGGAGTGCCTCACTTTGCATCCAGGCCTCTTGAGTCGGAGGCTCTTCCCTTCTGTCCTGAAGCCCCCCCGGAGAGCAGCACCGAAGAGGCTGGGCTGTTCTCAGTCAGGACTGCAGCTCCGTCTGCCTAGGAGGCTCTTGGGGGCTCTGGAACTGGAGTGGCTTGGGGGAGTCTTAATAAGCCCCGGAGGAGGCAAGCAAGTGGAGGCTCAGGCTTTTACTTTATCTTCCTGGGTTCCTCCTGGAACTGTGGACTACAGTGCCTTTCGGGCTTCAGCTCAACTCCAAAGCTGGGATTTGGGTGAGAAGGCAGAACTGTGTACAGTCTGCCTGGGACACCTGCTGAGGTACGGTGCTGGTGGCCGGGTGTCTTTTTTTTTTTTTTGTTCCTCGAATGCCTTCAGGGCACTTTTGGTCAGCTGGAGAGTTGTGAGGTTCGACTCGAACAACCTGAGGCTGACAGCTTTGTGGAAGCAGCCACTTAAAGGCCTGAGCTAGGGCCAGGCCCCCTTGGCCGGGTGTCTTGTGAGCATGTTTCTGCCTCCTAAAATATTCTCCGGAGATACCCATGGAGTCTGACTTGAGCAGAGAAAGCAGACACAGTGTAGGGGCAGCTAGCATCTTTCTAGCAGTGTAGACCCACCCTGTTTTCCACAGCCTTGGGGGCCCTCTGCTTTCTCAGAGGAGCCAGCTGAGCCCAAGGAACTCTGCTCAGCTGTCCGGAAAGGCCCTCAGATGGGTTGAAGAGGCACCAGACAGAGCGAGAAGAAAGGATGGGCTGATTGCTAGTGGTAGTGTACAGGGAGTGTGTGGCCTGGCCTTGTAGGTAAATCCTGCAGCCTGTCCCCCGGTGGGGCCTAGAGAGTGACATGCACGTTAGAAGATAACAAGGCCAGGTGGACTCCTCCCATCTAGATTTCATGTGGGCAAGTATGTGCTAGGGCCAGTGTACTGACTTGAACGGGCGAGCTCTGCTGGCTTGGTGCCCTGCATGGGGTAACACACGATCCGGGGCCTGTCACTTGGTCCTGATTCTGTCTCCAGTTCTGGGAGCCTTCCCATGTTCCTGCCCCATTGTGCCTCAGTTTGCCCACAGCTATAAGGAAGTGAATAGGCTGTGAAGTCACTGAGTTGAGAGATCTGCTGGATGTCGTGGGCCATTTGTGCTGGTGTGGCTGAGCTAGGAGATGCAGCAGCCACCAGCAGGCAGGAGCTGCATGCGGGTCCAGAGCTGTTGTTTGTGGATGGTGGGGTCTCTGAGGGCCCCAGCTGGGTTTGCTTTGCCCTGCTGTATGCTAGTAAGTGCACCAGGTCCAGAGGAGGTTGGAATGGGAGGCTGTGGCTGGTGTTCATTCACCTGTTTGTTTTTTAACTCCTTCACTCTTATTCACTCACCAAATCAAAACCCAGCACATTTCCAAAGACCCAGTGATGATTAAGTGGTGGCTGCCTCACCCACACACCCCCAGTGGGGGGCAGCACCCTTTGCTAGCCCATGTGGGCAGCAGTCTGGAGGCTGGAGCTGGTGGAGGCTTGGGCCAGATAGCGGCAGGCGGGGGAGACAGAGTGAAGGATGTGGGGTCTTTCTAGTGGACTATCAACAAGGCCAATCAGCAATTGACTGAATTTTGGAGACAGGAGAACTGGAGTTGGCCTTCAGGATGGCCTGGTACTGGGGTGGACACATGTACTCACAGACATGGAGTCTTAGGCAGAAGAGGTGGCATGCATGACTGTCCACACTGCTGGGATTTTCATTCTTACAGCCTCAGCTCCAAGAAGGGAGCTGATTCTAGGGACTCTGACCTGGGTGGCTCTCCTGGGCTCCAGGGTAGACAGGGTGGTGGTCACCACTCTGCTACTTCTTTCCATGGCTGCACTCATTGGGAACCCCTCCCAGGCCTGAGAAGGGTGACTCAGAGTAACTCCCCGGGAAGTCAGCTGAGGCTGTTCTAGTGCAGGGTGAACTGGAAGAGGAGGGAGGGTCGGGGCCTGAGGACACTTCTTTGAGCAGATCCTGCAAGCTTCTCTGCCTCATGTTGGGCCCATGGAAGGTGTCCCACAGTAGGCCAGTGACCCTACTCTCTCCATATTATCAGTCAAGTTCCTGCTCCTGCTGGCCATATGAATAGCTCCAGGATTTCTAGAAGACCCAAGCAAATCCTTCCTGTTCACATGCGCTAACTGAGGATGTGAAAGCAGAAGGGACTCGGCCAGGGCTACAGTGGGCCACAGAGAGCTCCAGTGTGAGCTCAGACCTCTTTCTGTCCTCAGAGGTGGCCTTGATGAGGATGTCCTCGTGGGCCTGTATGTCAGAACCCCCCATATGCCTCTACTGCACGGGGGACTACAAAGGAGGGAACAGTGGCTCAGGTGGCTTTGCCTCTGGCTCGTGGCTTTGCCTCTGGCTCTTGCCTTTGGAGTATCTGGGCTTGGATGGGGCCACAGATCTCAAACAATGGACATGTCTCACTATGAAATCAGCATGTCCACAATGGCTCAGTGGACTAGATTGACTGCTGGCTGTGGAGGAGAGTATATGGTTGACGGACTGAGAAAGAAGCAGCAGGGGACAGCAGCAACGAGTGTGACACCAGCATGGTGAGCACGATTAAAAGCCATCTCTGGAGGTTCACAAGACAAGCGGAAAACCCTGTCAGCCTAAATGGCAGGTGATAAGAACAAAACCAAAACAGGGTGCAAGAGGATGCTGCTCCCCTCCCAGGGCCCAGTGGCCTAAGCCCTGGCTATGCCGGGTATGGCCACGTGCAGCTCAAATAAGCCATGGAAATCCTCCTGCACTGGGTAGGGATCACTTCCCTCGCTCGCAGGGACAGTTAGTGAAGAACCTTGATCCCATCCAGAGCTGCCACCTGGAACTGTGCAGCTGCCCTGCGCTCTTCTGGGATTTGGCTTTGCCCTTGGTGGAGGGAAGGTCAGGGGCCCAAACCTGCTCCGAACGCGAAGAAGCAGATCTTGTCCTCATTCTCCCGCAGCAGTGCCATGACCCTCTTTCCCATGCGCTCATTCCTCTTGTAGATGAGCTCCTGGCGGAAGTAGCTATCGATCTCCTGGGCTGTCACCTGCTCGTGTGGCGGGAGGGTGGTGTTGATGAAGTTGGGCAGCTGCAAAGGCAAGACAGAGGCCACCTTCAGTCCATGGTGGGGCCAGGAGCACACGGGGCAGGGCTGGTGATTTGCCTGGCCTGGCTGATGGGGCATCTCATTGTGTAGGTGTTCCTCATCTGCCCCAAACCCTTCTGGATCATCATTGCTGCTCCTGTTTTATGGATGAAGCCAGCAAGGGAGGAGAAGATCCTAGCACATGCAGGCGGAATGGCTGGGCTCCCCAGCAGCCGAACTTCCACAGGCACTTTCCCTGTGTTTGCCTGGTTTAACCTCAATGCCCAGGAGCTGAGGTCCAGGGAGACTGGGACTCCTCTCCTGAACAGCTCCCATTGAGCCCAGCACTGGTACATGCTTGGAATTCAGATCAGCAAGTGCATACAGAGAGTCTGCCAAAATGCCTGGTGCAGCAGAAAAGCCATGGGGTAGGGTTAGGCTGCCCTGGGTTTCAGCCCCTGTTTTGATGCTGGGTCAGTTTTTTACCTTCCCGAGCCCCAGTTTTCTCATTTATAACATGAGACCCATGTTCTTAGGGGATTAAATGAGGTAACGTGTGCTCATGAGGGCCCCACCCTACAGAGATGAAAGGAGAAATCACCTTTGGTTTTTCCCATGTTGAAATTCTCATCTACTCTTTCCTGGCTCCTCTACCTCCCAGGACACTAACTCAGCACTCAGGCTCTTCCTGTAAACTAACTCCATGCCCACAGCAGCCCCCAAGAGAGTGCTTGTTTGATGTCTTGTGTTGGAACTGAGCAGCTTTCTCAGCTCTGGGTCCTGCACCATTACCCAGCTTCCCACACCCAGCCTCCTGGCCTAGCAACAGCCTCATGGATGTGCCATCTATCTAGGCAGAGGGCTCCCCAAGGTCAGGGATGGAGCCTTTGTCATTCTGGGTCTCAAATGCCTGGCACGGGCTATGAGGGTTCCTTGGAACTTGACCATGAGCTCTTGTTGCCCCTTCCTGACCTTAGCTGCCCTTCCTGCATTCTTCCTGTGCCCCGACCAAGGCACAGGGCAGAAGATGCCAGGGCTAGCTGGCCAGTGGGCAAGGTTGTTGGGTGGTGCAGACTGACTTCCTGCAGGTTTTAGCCCCTAGGGTCGAGCAGCCTAATCACAGGTCTTAGGGAGCCACTGCTGAGTTGCTGACATTTTGTCAGAGGAAAATGGAGTAGTCAGCAAAGGCTGAGCCCAAGGGACTGAGGAAGCTGAGACATCTGCTATATGCTGGCCTAGGATCAGTCAGTTTCTGACTGAGAAGCACAGTTTTGGCTCCCATTAGAAAAGTAGGACTCTGTCTGGATGAATAAGACAATAATTTGACTGGTGTCTCCCAAACGTGTGTAGTGTACAATCTACCTGGCTGTATGTAGTGGCACTGCTAGTTCCCAAGGGGCCAGCAGAGAGCTGGTGTTCTGGGACTTTTTTGTTTGGCAAATAGACAAATGATGTGATGGTGTCATTGCCACCTTTGTCACCTCCCTACTAAGGAAGAGGCGACAGACAGCCCTGACAAAGCCAGTCACACCTGACTTGATCCAGCTGTGGAAAACACCAAAGGCTGCTGTGCTGCATGGGGAAGAAATAGAGGGGCCATGGCTCGGAGAGTTATTCGTGGAGACACGCCTCTTGAAGGCCCTCTCCTTTCCTGGGTTAGGGTGACAATTTGAGGCCACATTATATGGCAAAGAAATACGTTTGGTGAATAAGTGGTTGAGTAAGTGGGTTGGAGGCAGGAGAAGCAGAGGGACTGCACAGGCCCCAGAAGTTCGATGGCTGGGATGACGTAGACTGGAACCCCCCTTTGGCTGCTTACTAGCTGGGTGACCTGACTAGAGAGTTACTTGGCTTCTCTGAGACTCAGTTTCCAAATTGGTAATATAAGGGAAATGTATATTGCTTTAGGGGTTAAATGAAGTTTTACGTTAAATTGCCCAAGTTGGGCTCAATTTTTTTATTTTATGAATTTTAAAATAAAAATTTTAAAAGTCATAAAATTTTTAAAATTTTATAATACAAAATTTCCTAATCAACTAACAAGAGAATAACAATAGTTATCATACAGTGAATTGTTATTTTTCAATCTAGCTACTCAGAGTACAAGATTGTTACCCAAAAGATTGTTACAAAAAAGAAACAGATAATAACAGAAACTTTCTTTTCAATGAACTCAAATAGACTAGTAGTATAACTGGAACCAATTACTGTATATATTGCAAAATTTTTTAAACAATAGAATTTGTATTTGAACTCCCTAATTCTTACTTATCTCTTTAATTTTGTTCTCTTTCTTTCTTTCTTTCTTTCTTTCTTTCTTTCTTTCTTTCTTTCTTTCTTTTTTTCTTTCTTTCTTTCTTTTTTTTTTTGATTCAGGGTCTTGCTATGCTGCTCGAATTTATAGTGATCCTCCTGTCTCAGCCTCCCCAGAACTGGGATTATAGGCATGAACCACCATGTCTGGTTCTGGGCCCGGCATGCTATGCCTGGGATTTCAGGGCTATCATGACACGTGGTACTGGGGATCGATCTCAGGACCTTGAACTTGCCAGGCAGGTGCTTATGCTGCCAACTATCTCCCCAGCCCCATTTTGTTCTTTATTTGTATGTACACAAATATATATTTCTCACATAAGAACCTCACATTTGAGCTTGTGTGTCTGACCTATTTCATTTATCATTGTATTCTCAAGTTGCATCTATTTACCTATGAGGGCCTCAACTTGATCTTTCTTATGGCAGCATAGTACTCCCACGCATACAAATAGCATATTTTCCTTATCCATTCATCTACTGACGATTATATATGCTGTTTCCAAGCTATTACAAATTATGCTGCTATGCTATTATTTTGAAAATCTCTACCATATATTGCTGTATGTTGTTCTATTTCTGCCTTTGTTTCTGCTATTTGTTTTTACCCTCCAAAATAAAAATAAAATTAAAATTAATAAAGAAAAAAAACAGATCATGCTGCTACACACATGGGTTTGCATGTATTCCTGTAGCACAATTGTTTTGGCCATATCTAGATGTCTCCACAAAGCCTCATGCGCTCAGAGGCGGGGCTTTTCAGAGGCGGCTAGATCCTGGGTGTGCGAACATGGACTAAGGGTTGTAGTAACCAATTTAGTTTACTGATCGGCTTAGTATGATTCTGAGTATGCACAATGGGAAGCCCCACCTAGGGCGTGGGTGGCTCCAACAAATAGCTTGTTTCCTGGGTAGCGGGCTCAAGGCTCCTTCCCGCCTACCATACTGTGGGCCATTTCTCCTCTCCCATTCCCTCTGCCATGCTGGCCTGCCTTGGAGCCAGCTGACTGGACTGAAACTTCTACGGATTGTAAGCTAAAATAAACCTTTCTTCCTTTCACTTGTGGGTGATGGATATTTTGTTCCAGCGACAAGAAAAGTAATTGAGACAATGACGATTTTCACTCTTGGGAAGACACCTAGACGGGAACTAGCTGGGTCTAAAAGAGTTTTGGAAAGTGCTTAGCACAGCGCAAATCACAGAAGAAGTCTGGGATAAAATGTCAGCAACTGTACACTTAGCCTAGGGCAGTGATGGCTGACCTCGTAGAGGCGAGGCCCAGACTGCAAGCCAAAGCCCACTTACTTATTGCAAAGTGCCAGCACTGCAGTTAAACTTGAATACTGAGGTTTTAGTTTAGAAAAAAGTATGACATCTTTTGTCTTAAAAGGAAAAGAATGCACATGTCATAAGCTTGCCACCAATGGCTTGTGGGATGGAGCTGGCTTCGTCAACTTTCCCTGCACTGTCACAGGCTGCCCGTGAGGGGCGGCCTTGGTCAGCGGGTGGAGATGGAGATAAAAGTCGGTGCCATCAGAAACATCCCAGCCAGGCAGGCAGAACTTTGCATCGCCTCCCCCTCTTCTGGTTGTCCCTAAGACCTGTAGACACCTAGGACCCTCCCTCCCGCAGTCCGTGACCACGATGTGCTCTGGCACCAAGCCGCATCTCCACTGATTCCTCAGGGAGCTGAAAGCCTTGAAAAGGATAAGAACTAGAATGTTCAGTATACAAGCCATGAAGGAGCCGGGCTGGGTGCTCAGGCTCCCTGGCTGACATCCTCTGCAGGTTCGATGCCAATGGGCTGTGGCTCTGTGCTAGAGATGGGGCCTGGGTTAGGGCCAGGACTGGGACGGAAGCAAATTAATGTTGTCATTAGGCTTGTTGGGGAGCTTAACTCTCCCAAGACAAGTTTAAGTGCAGGGCGCAAGATAACATTTAGAAGAGGTCACGTAAGGCTCCCAGGGTCCTCGAGAGAGGTCTTGGAAGGGTGACAAGGAGATGCCTGGGAAGGGCTGGACCAGGTGTGGTGGTCAAACGCTCAGGTGTGTTGATGACACTGATCTCAGCAAACCTTCCCTTACACAGGCGTTGGTAGAAACCTGCTGAGAATGCCCGTGGTTCTGGGTCTGTGTTCTGCCAGAGGCCAAAGAGCACCCTTAAACTGGATCTGTTGCCCTTGAAAGCCCCCCATGGTGTGTGTGTGTGTGTGTGTGTGTGTGTGTGTGTGTGTGTGTGTTAGATGCCCACAAGAGCTCTGTGGGGTACCATGAAGGACAGGGACACCAGGGGAGGCCACTGACAGTATGACCACATCTCTTGGCTTAACCAGGACCACTTAGGTTTGTGGCTGGAGATGGCGCCACAACTACAAAATACTTTGACTCTAAACTAAATTTCACTGTCAGAAGTATCTGAATTTAGACAAGACATATCTGTGGTTGCTTTATATCTCAATGCTGGGGCCCAAGCCGGCCTTGCTAGGGTGGGGGGCTCTGTATGCACTGCCTGTGCTGAGCAGTGGCATGACCCGGGGGCTGTGAGGCCAGGACACAGCCATGTCAAAGGTGGGAAGAGTGGACCAGGCAGACAGGCCGGTCACGCGTGAGGTGCTGCCAGCACTACCAACCTAGGCCTGTAGCTGTCTACCAAGGCCTGCTTCGGCCACATCATTGTCCTTCACACTGTAGCCTGAGGTATCTCTCTGACCATACCACTCCCTGCTATGACTCCACATCTCTCACGTTCCCACTCCACACAGCCTGCCTCTACCTGACAATTGTGTTTTCAGAAGTCCTGTGTTCCCATCCACCCCACCACCAGTTTGCTTGGCTTGGACACCTGTACCTGCCCTCTCATCAAGTAGATTCCACCTTGTAAATCCCTTCCTGATTGCAAGCGAAGTGACTAGCTCATAGCCTCCGTATCCTCAGTTCCACACAGGCTTCCCGGCCTCCAGCTGCAGGCACAGCCCTACCACAGCCAGGGGTTCAGCCCTGCGGCCCTGGAGCTAGGCTTTCCTTTTTCCTACAGCTGAGACCAGGGCTGCTCCTCAGCAAGGATCCCCATCCTGCCTGTACTTCCTGTGTGCAGCCTAGCTTGCTAGTCTGATATGGATGGACTGAGCCATGGATCCCCTCTCCCACTTTAGGTACAGGCTCAGTGCAAGACCCGATGCAATTGCTGATTTCCAGGAACAAAGGCAAGTCAGTGCCTCACTCTGGCTAAAAGAACATCTGAGTTGCCACCTCTACCCTGTGCCTCCCTTTCTTTGCTTAGAGTCATAGTCTGAACAGGGTGTCCTGGTGGGTTGATCCCATCAGAGCCAGCTCATTCTGAGCCGAGATCAGGGCTCCTCTGCATTCCTCAGTGGACGATGCAGGGCAAGTACATGCTGCAGCATGACTCACTGGTGGGACTCCACAGCCTTTGTGGGACAGGCTTCTCTTGTCCTCCTTCACCTCCTCATGCGGACTCATAGCCTTTGGAATCTTGAGTCTCCTCTGGCAGGGCCTCCAGCCCCTGCCTCTTTCACCTTCTAAGCTGCTTGGAGAACATGGAGCCTATGCTGGCTTGGGCCGGGATGGCTCACTGACACATTCCCAGGCCCTCAGGTGCCCTCGGCAGTAAGGACCCAAAGATGAGCAGCACACCCAGGGCTTGGGAGGTCATGGCCTAGGGTGAGGGTGGCAGGCACAGACAGAACATTCCAGTCCTGGTCCTCTACACCTGCAGCATGAGTGAGCACTTGAATGAGCAACTCTCCCCATACACCTCCCCCACTGCTCCCCCCCCCAGCCATATCTGGTACCTGGCTTGATTGCACATAGCTATCTCTGCTGGGACACCCTCCTCCTGTCAGTGGCTGACTCCAGGTCTTCTGTGGCTTCTCACCTTGCAGGAATCTTTCTTCCTGGCCCTACCCCACCTGAATTAGATGTTCCTGCCATAGGCTCTAGCAGGGCCTTGCTGTTCCCTGCACCAAGGCTCAAAGTACGGTGCTAGGAGCGGGTGAGTGCCACCAGGACCATTCTCTCTAGCTCCCCACTGCAGTCCTCTGCATAGCACTGGGCCTGACATTCATCCTGATCTTACCATTCATGCAGCCAACATGCACCCAGCCCTACCCTGGGTCTGGGACTAGCCAGTGGGCAGATATCAATGAATATAACAGATCTGAATGCTGCCCTCACGGAGCTCTCATGCCAATGGGCAGGGGCAGACGCTAAGTAGTTTCTAGTGGACACATCAGGCATTTGTCATGTGGGAGGCTCTTCCAGGCCATAGGAAAAATACAGCATGATAAAGAAATGAGAGAGGGCTGGGGAGATAGCTCAGTGGAATAAGTGCTTGCCTGGCAAGCACAAGGTCCTGAATTCGATCCCTGGTACCACCAAAAAAAAAAAAAAAAAAAAAAAAAGGAAGAAGAAAAAAAGGAAAGAAAAGAAAAAAGAAGAGAGGGTGAGAGTGAGGGCTTAAGTTGCAGTTCAGACAGCATGTTCTTCACCTGAGGCTTTTCAGGTGAAGTGGTGGAGGCTTTGATCCTGGCAAGGGCAACAGGCTCCGAGGGCACTGTAGTGTGAAAGTGGATGCAAGTGAGATGGCTTCCTGAACAGTGAGAACTCCTGCACAACTGGGATATGGTAGGAAGAGGAAGCTGGAAGAAAAGGGGCTGAACCCAGGTAGTGTCCTGAGAAGGGATGAGGCCTCTTCAGACTAATTCCAACTCTTGAATGAATGGCTATTCAAGCTCCCCTACAGAGGAAGCCAGGACCGAAGGCAAAGGCAGCTAGGGATACTTAACTCCATCCAGGGACCAGGAAGGTGTCTCAGAGAAGGTGTCATTTGACAAGGTCAAGCGCGAGGGACCCAGGGGAGGGTAGAGCCTGGGCAGAGGCACAGAGGCAAGATGAGAGCAGCTGCAACAGAAGAGCTGAATTTCCATAGGTTCCCAGAACAAGCAAGGCGTCTGGGGCGGATGGCCTGGCCAGGGACAGGACTGGCTGAGATAGTTCCCAGAGGGCCTTGTATGCTGGGAGAAGTGTTTGGAATTCACCTAGAGCCCCTACTGGCTTGGTGGTAATCTTTCCTCTAGGACTTAGATCTGGGCAGAAAGCCGGTGGCTGGACTCAAGTCCAACCTCAGAATAACTGTGGACTTCTGGTCACTTGGGCCTTGGTCTTCCCAGATGTTGAACTGAACCTCTTAGAGACCTCCCTGGTTTCACAGGCTAAGCATCCAGAGTCTCAGACTCCAGAGTCACACAGACTGGCTCATCCTGCTGCTCTTGGTAGGTCAGGAATTCCATAGCTAACAAACTGTGGCCTTGGGCAAGTCTCTTTCCTTCTCTGAGCCTCAGTTTCCCCAACTATAAATGGAGGTAACCATAGCTCCATGGCTGGCCAGGATAGCTAGGTTTGCATGGGCCTGGCTTGGAGTCTTTGGAGCTTGTGAACCAGAGGCTGTTGGGCTGAGGAGTGGCATAGCCTCACCTGGGATGTGTCATGGTTGAAGATGACAGCATTGAGGTCTCCACAGTTGTAGTGCTTGATGAGGTCCTCTGTGGTGTAGGGTGCCTGCAGGCTCCCGGCCCGCACACTCTCGTGCTGCAGCAGGGTCTGGTTCAGGGCAAACAGCACCTGGCCAAGGGAAGAGAGGGCAGTGAGGTGGTGCTTAGGGCTGTCCTCTGAGAGTGGCCCTCCTCTCTCTAGGCTTGGGGGCAGGGCCCAGCACTGCTGGTTCGGTAAAGACTTCCACACTTTCTCCTCTGTCCACACTCTCAGCACTGGCACCTGCTCCTAATGCCAGCCCTCAAACACAAAGGGCCCCTCCTGCTGGTCTCAACAGGTTATCTAATGATGGGCAAAGTGAGGACCCTGCTGTGATTGGGTTTGAAGTTTTAGGTGAGTTTTTCTCTCCTTTCTTTTGTGTTGTGTGCTCAGTATTCTGGGATAAGCAGGGTCATTCATTAAAGCACATGCTAGGGCCAGCCAGGTAGCTCTACAGATTAAAGTGCCTACTTAGGTAGACCCAAGGGTCAGGGATTCAATCCCTGGCCTGCTGTGCCAGACCCACTCCAGGGGTGTGCTGAGATGGTGATTGAGACTGGGCATGGTGGCACACACCTGTAATCCCAGCACTTGGGAGGCTGAAAAACAGGAAAGATCACAAGTCCAATCTGTGTAGTGAGACCCTGTTCTAAATACATAAAAAAAGAAAAACAAATGCCAACAAAGCGAAACAAACACAGGAACAAACACAAACAGAAGCCTAGTTAGGCACCAAGGCCCAACCCACCCTATCATTCAGCTGGCCTTCCTGTCCTCAGTTGTTCTGTCTTATGGCCTCTGCACTTGGCCTTGGGGATGCAGCTGTCCCCAGCCAGACCTGCCAGGCATCAGGTGCAGCTGGGGTACTGCGCAAGTCAGGCGCTCAGGCCCCACCTTTCAAAATCAGAATCTGTTTCCACAGGCTTCCTGGGCATTGCCTGAGCAGCCCAAGTGCATTTGAGGGTCGTGACTCTTATGACGTCTAGGGTATGAAGGCTCCAGAAGATTGTCTAGCGCAGCACTTCCATTTTAGATGCAGAAACTGAGGCTGAGGACAAAGAAGGCTCTCACTGAGTCCACGAGACTGGAGTGGAGCTGGAGCCAGATTCAGGGGATGAAGTATTCCAGAAGTTTTTGGCCATTAATGGTTTTTTATCACCAATGTGGAACCTGATCATTAGTGGGTGGGGTTTTTTAATCACCAATGTGGGGAGAAGCTTGCTGCCATCCCTATGCAAAATGACAGGAGGCATCTCACGCCTTCTGTCCCTGATGCTTCTCAGCTGCAGCCATTGTGCTCAGTGCTCAGGCTTGCTTGCCCTCTTTGCTCAGCACTGTGGATGACAAGGCCCCGAGCTCTCGGCTCATGTCGATTTTCCACTGCATCCACTGCAACAGCCCCTCCCCGCTACCCCATGCTCTTCAGTTACAGTCATCTTTTGAAATGGCTTCCCCCATTTTCTTTCTTGTTCAAAAGGTTCAGCAACCTTCTTGTCCCCAGGTCACCGGACTAGCTTTCTGGAGAGCTTGAAGGTAGGCACCTGGTCTGCACTATGGTCAAATAACTTCATTTCTTACGAGGGCTTCATGGCTCTTGTTAAGGTTTAGATCTAAAGTGGGCACCCAGAGCCTCATGTGTTTGGAAGGTGACTGGGTCATGGGGTGCTATACTGAGTTGCTAGGAAGTGGAGCCTGAGGGAGTGCGGCAGTTCATGAGGAGCAGGACCTGGACAGGTATAGGTCCCTCATGGCTCCTCCCCTTCCTTTCTGCTTCCTGACTGACCCCCAGGATGTGAGCAGCCTCACCCAGGCCTTTCTACTTTGCCTTTTCTGCTTGGAGTCAGCCAACCAGGAACTGTAAAAGGGATCCAAAAGAAAACTCCTTTAATTTATAGATGTTGGGTATTTTGTCATAGCAAAGAAAAAGTAACTAAGACATCATCCAGTACTAAAGCACTCAATATTATTGAAACAAAAACAATCTCCTGCTTTGGACCCTCTGTGTACTCGCTTTTGTCTGCTGGGAAGATCCTGGCCCTCCAGTCTCCATTCTCCACTTGGATATTGAAGCTTCACCCAGAACTCTCCTCCCAGGAACCTCTCTGCCCACCGGGGGGCTGCGAGAGGCTCCTCCCTGTGGCTTCCCTGGTCTCTGTGGGTAACAGCTGATAGATGAATTGCCTCAGATCTTTACCCCTCTCCACATCCATGCCCCTCACCATGGGATTTTAGAGCTCTGTCTCATTTTAACTTTGGACTCTCTTCAGGCAATGGGATGTCAGTAATCTTTACAAATCAAGTAAGGTGTTTTAGTTATTTTTCTCATTGCAGAGACAAAACCCCAATGCCTGTAAGTTAAGCAGAGAAAGGTTTATTTAGCTCACAGTTTAGAGAGGTTTCAGTTCATTTGGCTGGCTCTGAGGCAGGGTGGCATATGGCAGAGGGGCATCACAGGGGAGAAACAGTCCATGGCGGGAAGAAGGTAGGAAGGCAGCAAAGCTGGGAAGCAGCGAGGGAGCAAGCAGCAAGCAGTCACAGCAGTCTTCTTTCTGTTCCTTATATTCCACCCAGGCTAAAAGGCCTTAGGTTCATTTGCACTCACACCCAGGGTAGGCTTTCCTGTTATCCACACTTAGAACCATGCCAAGCCAACCAGTGGACTACTTTAGTAACCACATGCCCTTGATCGCAGCCTCATACACTGGATCTAGCCACATCTGCAAAGCCCCATCTGTGACTACATACAGCTTTGGAAGGACATCTAGACACAAGGCATAACACATGGCAAACCCTTGGGTGCTCCTGCTACTGCTGCCTCCCACACCTCTGCCACGGCCCTGAGGAGGACACAGGTCAGCCTGCTGCGGGAGGAGACCTAGACAAGCGAACAGCTGGTGACTCCCAGACACGTGGGCCAAGATCAGCAGAACCCACTCACTACTGGCTCTAGCTCCCTCAGCGATGACCTCTGTTGTTGTTACACAGTGTAATTATGATGTCAGGTAACTGATGTGCTATGTTCCCTTCCACCATGGTGTGGGCATTAGCTTGTCACCACTGTTCAATTCCAGCCCCTCAGCAGACTATATGCTTCTTGAAGACAGTAATTGCAACTTATTCCTGAATCTGTGCTTTCAGCGTTGTGCCAGAGAAGGAAGATGTAGCTTCTTTACTTTAGTATCTTGACATCTGCTGCAGTCATGTTCTAGTTAGAGGACTCTTACTAATCCCTTAAGAATGACCTTTAGAACTGGCATTTCTACCTGTATTTTGAGGCAGAACTCTACTATGCGGCAGAAGTGTCAAGCACTGCACATGACCTGAATAAACTCCTATAAGAGGTATGCAAGGCCTTCCCAAATTGCTGACATAGACAGCGGGACCAAGCTTGTGCTTGGGGCAGCTCCTCCACCCATCTGCCCCAGTGTGTTATCTGGCAGGCGAGCTGGATGTGAGGGTTGCAGAAGCCCAGGCTGTTGTTCCTAATGAGCTGGCTCGAGATGAGGTCAGACTCCCACCTCCATCCCACCTTGGAGCCCTCTCCAGGCCCCTGGGCTCTGGCCACCACTGCTGAAATTTGATCTGCGGCCATCTGGTGCAGGGTGTCGATGGCAGTGTGGTGGTTGGGATGGATTACAGGAGGCAATGGTCCTGTTCCTGTGGACATTACTAAGGCAACAGGAACTTCCTTCCACATGGCGTATGCCTTGTATGAAAGTGACTGTGTCAAACTGATCCCCTTTCCTCCTCTGAGGGCCTGGGACACACACACTTCCTGTGACTACACCGGGCCTCTGCCCACACCTGCCTGGATGCTCCTCAGATCTTCTTGGCCAAAGCACTAACTGCCATTGGTGAGGTCACCACCTAGGCATCAGAAGACCTGGCTGGAGGCACATGGCTCCCCTGGACCCTCCTTGACTCATGCAGTCCCTTCTGCAGTCATGTGGCCTTCACACAGCTGGGAGGTGTTCTTGAGGATTAAGTATATTACAATCTGTAGGGTGTTAAGAATAGTCTTGGCATGTAGTAAGTGCTGAATATGTGTTGGTTAAATAAAACTTAGCAGAAAATAAACCCAGACCTTCCCAGCTTAGAGCTGGTAGGACCCTAGAGGTCGTCTGCTCCAGAGGAGTCCAAACCATTTTTAGCCATGGAATCCTTTCCTGTTGCTGTTGTTTTCCAAAGGAACTTTACTTGGAACTCTAAATGTGGAGCAGATAGAAGTGGTAACTTGGCTGGCAGTGCAAGGGAGCCAGGCTAGAGCCTGCAGTCAGGCCAGGTCAATGTCCTCTCATGCTTGGGCGTTCTGGAGTGCAGCTTGAGAATCATTGATCTCATTCTACACCTTCATCATATGAAAGAGGAGACAGAGGTCCCAGAGCAGGCAGGCTTGCCCCAGATGACACTGAATGGAGGCAGAAGGGGTTCAGTCCCAGTACCCCAACTCCCAAGCCTTCTGCAGGGCACCAGGCTGACGGCTGTGGTAGGATCTCACGGTGTCCACTGGCATGGCCCGTGTTCCTCCACACCCACTGTCACACTCATTTGCTTTCTAGGCTTCTGTGGAATATCGAGGAGTGATTAGTATCAGCATGATGCAGACAGGAAATTATGGCCAGGCCACTTAACAGGCCCATCAGTGTGCCTCATCTGAGAGTGAGAGAACTAGGAACGAAACTTGTCACTCTTGACTCTGTCCACTTGGACGGGATTTGGTGTTTCCACGGACCTCTGTGCTCAGACTCCTCCTGTGGTACTTATCTCACAGAATTGTCCCTGTTCCCTGCTTCTTTTCAGGTGACCGCTCTCTCCTCTCTTCTTTAGTGAGATGAGGGTGGTCACTCAGAAGATGCTGCAAAAGGCAGGATGCTGATCCAGAAACTGTATCCTTTGTAGGTGTCTTTGTCCATTCATTATTGGGACCCCTCATTTATTGTGTACTTACTATGTGTCAGGAACTTTCTAAGATAACTACTTAATCTTTACAGTAACTCTGGGGTAAGATTTGGAGAAAAAAAAAGTGGCAAAGAAAGTGTAGGCATCTTGCCAAAAGATAAACCTAGAGAGGGTGAGATGGGCATTTGGGC